CAACGAATAGTCCCGCAAGAATGCTTCTAGCAACGTAGGATTGATTCTAAGGTGGGAGTTTACTTACTGGGACAGAAGGAATCAATAGGAAGCATAATGGAATTGCTCTCACCTTGGTAGTTCTGGCCCTTCCGTCTGCAATCACAAGCTGATATCAATTCACCAAAAACAAAATTACCTACAACACAAAACTGTTATCTATTACCTAACATAGCATACGTCTCATTTTTCTATTTCCTGAGCCACAGAAATCGACCTTCGCGGAGGGCATTTTGGTTGATGGAAGTACCCTCAAGTAATCTCCTTGTAAATGAGCAATTATCTATAGAACCAAGCCCTGTTTGATGTTCCTGCATATTTTATAGAACATACCCTGGATAATGTATTGAACATACCTTGTGTGATGTTCTAGCATAACGTGTAGAACAAATCTCGCTAAATTTTGACTCACTCACTCAATGTGAGGCTTAAACTTATCAATCAACTCTCGTTCATATCAGTGTTCTCACAGAAATTGGGGAACATACCCTGAATAACCCCACAGAACACGTTTGCTTTCGCCATATCCATGTAAGCTGGACAAACGGAGGAGTCGGCGTAATTCTGGTCGTGGTTGCTACGGAGGGACATGTTGTTTAGATTTAAGAAGTGTAGGAGCGCATGGGAATGTGTAGGATGTTCAATTCAACAGGTCTTGTACGCGATGTTTTGTTTGTTTGTTTGTTGTTTAACGCCGCACATAAAACAGGTGGTGTTAGCCATCGCATTGTTGAGACGACGTTTACATTCAAAGGCATCACCGCCCATGTCTTCAATCACTTTCATAAAATCCGATAACTCCTCTTGTATGTTGGCTTCCGAAAGCGACTTTCCCATCCCAAACTCTCGGAGGGAAGTCGGGCAAACTTCCTCTGCTGCTTCCAGTGGGAACTAGATGCGTGGGCGAGAACTACACAAGGGACAAGATAAGGTTTGTTTGTTTCTTGTTTAAGACGCACTCGGCAACATTCCAGCTATATGGCGGCGGTCTGTAAATAATCGAATCTGCACCAGGCAATCCAGTGATTAACATCATGAGCATCGATCCACGCAATTGGGATACAATGACATGCATCAGCCAAGTCAGCGAGCCTGACCACCCGATCCCGTTTGTCGCCTCTTACTACAAGCATAGTTGCTGAAGACTTAAAGAAGTAACTGACACAAGGAGACGTTTATTCACTACATAGAGAATCTCACCCTGTGTCTTCTGATATGAAATATATCAGCACACGTCTCTGAAGACCTATTCTACCCCGGGTCTTCACGGGTTTTGTACACGTTGTTATGATATGGGTCAAGTGTAAGTAATATTCGAAAACTGTGAAAATAAGAGCGACAAAACTCTTTCCATATTCATTAGATATCTCTGCTAAAACGAGTCGACTATACGATTCCGACTATATCTTGAGCAAGTGTTCATGAATCATTATCAAATAGAGAGAGTACCAGGTGTTCGCGAATAGGTGAGAGTATACGGCCCCACCGGTGGCACCCGTCACAACCACATGCAAAGGCAAATCAATTGTTCACCTGAAAAAAACACGGGAACATGTTGTACAAGTCAAAATAAAGAATTGCATCGGATATCTTTTGTCACTGATGCGTCCAAATTGGAAATCCCCTTCATGTGATTAAAAGCTTACCGAGGCCTTGACTGTTATAACCTTAATCAAACAACTTCTGAGCAAGAGTTGTAAGAAGCTCGGGAAATCTTGGTTGAAAGGGCATGCTCGATTGTAGAAGTTGTGAAATGTAGATACCAAGGGCTGGAGTTGCAGGATTTATATCACTCGAGATAAAGGCAAAGGTAGCTATTGGAAACCTGAAGTCACTCCATTGTAGAATAGGTCTTCAGCAACCCATGCTTGCCGTAAAAGGTGACTCTGCTTGTCGTAAAAGATGACTAACAGGATCGGGCCGTCAGGCTCGCTGTCATACTTGCTCCCCATGGATTTTTTTTTTTTTTATAGAAAACAGTTTTATTTGAATCAAGTTGGTGACCCCCCCCCCCCCCCCCCCCCCCCGTCAAAAAAAGTTAACTCTGGCCTTATCTTTGGTTAATCTTTGAGACAGGGATTTGGTGGTACATTTACAGGTTTGTTCCATTTCTGTGTCCTTTTCTCAGTTTGTGAATCCTACCATTGACAACATCAAGCACATCAACCACTCTGAAAGACATTCAGCAGAAAGAAGACAGAAAATAATGAAAAAACAACTTGATAAGTCGTGACACCTTGAGACTGAAACCGGGGGATGGTATCCCTGATGTAACTAACGGGTTCTGGTTACTCACTTGTTGAAGATAGCAGTGTTCTATGTCTATGTGCAGTTGTAATTGAGGATTGCTGCCTGGGTGTTATCTACGTTGCATGTGTGTACCATTGCTCACCGGAGAAAGGGCGCAGTTATTGCTTGGGTGATGATCTAGAACGGTCGAACCGAAAGTTCTAATGTTAGATAGTAGATTCTACAAAGAACCGGCTAAATATGTGACTCCCACTGGTCAGTTGTTGTGAACAGGCTGATCAATTGAGGTAGAAAAAATGCTTCTGATTTTATGATCGCTTCACCGCGCTCTAAAACAGGTTGTGACTGCACGCTGAACCTCTTCTGACTATATGACTGACTCTTCGGCTGACCAGAAATGGTACTCTTCTTCCCTTCTACAGGATTTGGAATCGACAGTCAGTCATGCATCTTCCACTGTCACTTCACATTTCAAACAGATCAATCTCGCCCATACTGTAAGAACCAGCACGTCCACGTCATTAATTATTCCGAAACAACTCAGAACAAAAGTAGGTCATGACCGGTTCAGTCAATGTCTTGCAGTGAGGGGGAATGGTGAGTACTGCACTGATTTGAACCTGAACAGTAAAGTTGTCGTATATGTTGCTTCATTGGCAACATGTTAAAATGTTGTGTTGAAAAATACAGTTGTTTTTTTTCTTTCGAGGAAACCAAACGTGTAGAGGGTATTTCATGTGTAGAGTGAATTAGCATGTTTCTCCTATGTATAAATATCCTATATCTTATATACTTTTTACCACCCCTTGTAATTGCGACTTAAAAAGTAGTTCCGAGTTTGCAAAATCTTAACAAATATAAACCAAAGTAATAAAAAATATTTGAGGTAATTAAAATTCTTTATCATACATTAGGATATGAATATATGCAAAGTCAACTTTTAAAAACAACAACCTACGAGACAGCTGTTGGAAGCGAAGGAATACACGCTGGTCAAGTAAAAAAGATTGGCGCTTTGCGAAACGAACAGTCTCGATTGTCGAGTTAACTAAGACATTTAAAGTTTATAACGAAACATTTTCAAGAGATACCAAACGACAAGAAGCGATATTAACCCCATAAATGACCATTATTTTACATTGTCAATGTGGAACTAACGTAAAAAGAAAGTCAACAGTTTGTGTACGTTCCAGACACTTACGATAAAGGGAGATAATTTGCGGGAAGGTCGCTCTTGTATGACAATAGTTCCCTTAAAGATCAAGTGCTTTATGTTCACTGCAATGAAAATATCAAGTGTTATGTTCACTGCAGTGGAAACATAACTTTTCTCAGGTTCAGGAAACACAATCTTTGCACTGAACTATATAATAATTCTTCATAGTGGACAAGTGTCCCCTGTGGTTGTATTTGCAAGATGTCATCAATCATCAAGTGTTCAGATGTGCAGTGTGTGTCTCCCCACATCTTTTAATGCGTTTCTTTTTCAGGAGTATTTCTAAGTGGTCCATCGGCACACCTTGAACATGGTATTCAAAGTTCATTGTTATCATATGTCGAGGTCCTCGGCCTGAGAGAATTATAGTTCTGTTCAGCTCTGTTGGACCCGTGAAGATCCGGGGAAGAACAGGTCTTCAGCAACCTATGCTTGTCTGAAGAGGCGACTAACAGTATAGGGTGGTCAGGCTCGCTGACTTGGTTGATACATGTCATCTTATCCCAATTGCGTGGATCGATGCTCATGATGTCAATCAGTGGATTGTCTGGTCCAGACTCGATTATTGTAGGCCGCCGTCATATAGCTGCGCTGTAATATTGCTGAGTTTGGCGTTAAACAACAAACTAACAACAACAACAACAACAACTAACAACGTGTTATTAACTTTATTTAACATACGTAGTTTTTAGGATGTTGATTTAATTGTAACTAAAAGCGACAAAATCTTTCCATTATCATGGGAAATCTTGCAACAAGCCTAGGCTAGTTACTATGGACCACTTTCCCCACGGAAAGTGGAGTCCATTGTACGATTTTGACTGTCATAAGCATGTGTTCATGAATCACTCTCAAAAAGAATCGTTGGGTTCCTTATGTGACTGCACTTTTTGAAGTCATGATGTCCCTCATATGTTTTTTGGAGACTCAAAACTAAAGTTTGAGAGTCACATTGAATATTATTGCATTTTACACAGTGATCGATTGTTGCAGAGGTGGCAATCCAATGCACAGTTAGTTATAAGTGTAAGGGAGACAACTCATGTCTGAACAGATCCAGACAAACAGGTTCTTTTGCTGGTTGGTTGGTTGGTTGGTTGTTTAACGCCGCACTCAGCAATATTCCTGTTATATGACGGCAGTCTGTAAATAATCGAATCTGGACCAGACAATTCAGTGATTGGCATCATGAGCATCGACCAACGCAATTGGTAGGTTGGTTTCATAATAAAATAAAACTGAGATTAAGTTTTAGCCAGCAAAAGATACCCGCGAAGATCCGGGGTGAAATAGGTCTTCAGCAACCAATGCTTGCCGTAAAAGGCGACTAACGGGATCGGTATGGTAAGGCTCGCTGACTTGGTTGATGCATGTCATCGTTATCTCAAATTCGTAGATAGATGTTCATGATATCAATCACTGGATTGTCTGGTCCAGATTCGATTATTTCCAAACCGTCGTCATATAGCTGGAATATTGCTGCGTATGGCATTAAACAAAAAAATCATATTTAGATCTGTGCATAAAGATAAAAAAAACCCCTCAAGACTGCATGACAAGAGGGAGGACTTCAACGTTCCAAAAGTAAACTTTCCCTTCATGTTGAACAATAATTCAGCAGCTCCAGCCTTCAGTGTCAACATTTCACAACTTCTGGCGTACTGCCATGCACGCTCTTTCGAAGATTTCAAACAACGCCATACGACTCTTGCTCGAAAGGTGTTTAATCAGGTTTACAACGTTCAAGGTCTCAATAAAGCTTTCAAAACATTCAGTTAAAAAATATGGAAGGCATTTCCAAGATTGATGCATCAGTGACAAAAAATATGAGTGATGCAATATCCTATTTTGACTTGTAACATATGTTCCTGTGTTTTTTTTTCAGATGAACACTTGACTTGCCTTCGCGAACACCTGGTATCATCACTATAGTCAAATTGCCCGCAACCGCTAATTTCAGATATGCGTTTACGAGATTTGACCGTCCACAAAGCTGCTTTTCACAGAAAAAACTTCAACCGTTTGATTTGACTCGATTGGTTCTCCGTGTATTGTGAATGTGTGACGGATTTCTTTGTCACTCATGGGAATTTATACATGCAATGACCTGGTACATGGGTAATCATGGCTAAATGCTAGTGATCATCATGTTCGATTCTGAAAAATCCATGGCAATTTTATTTTAGTGTTATTTTTTATGGTGCACATGATTTGTTTTTCGCTAGTATTCTATCAATAATCCATTTATTGATATCACCAACTGGTATCACAAAATCAATTTTATAATATCCTAAAATAATCATTTATGTTATAAACAATATTCTGATGTATATTCCTTTGGGATGAGTCAATGATGATTAAAATGTATTTTGTGATTTCAATAAATCCTTTTAAGATATCGTTTAACCGAATTTGTGATATCACTTATTCAATTTGTGATATTTTATATAAAAAAGGAAGTTTTAAATGTCATTACATTGAATGTGTGATACACATATTCCCATTTCACAATAACTACGACCTGAACATTGTGGATCAGGATTTTATGGAGCTTATGATATAGTTAACTAAATAACATACAACACTAACTCTTGAAACTAATTATTAATAATTCACACAGAGACACAAAGAATATATTAATAAATTCAAATGGGTGATAAAGGTGACAGACCGACAATGTCGTTGACAAATAGTATATTTACTTCGGTGTGCGGGAGAATTAGTTATTTTCGTGAACCATGAAGAAAGTAACGGATACCACAAATGTTTAGATATCAATAAAGTACATTTCGAAAGTTGTTTTCGAAATCTCTCAGTTAATAATGTTATAACTAACTGTATAATTCACTTTGTTAAACTAATTATATTGGTGGATATCTTAGAATACATCCGTTTATTGATGTAGAAAACTGTACTGGTCGACAGGTGGGAAGATTAAGTCAACAATCTCGAGGTACAGCCCGAATGTTGAAATTCGGAGCTGCATTTGTAATGCCTATTATTCCTTTGAGAGGAGGCAGCGTGCCTTTGTCTGGCAGGATGTGGAACCTCTGGATGATGGACGTTATGAACAGGAATAACTCCATTTGAGCAAACGACTCACCAAGACACTTTCGGCGACCTGCAAGTCGTAAACATCACAGATAAAATGTATTCGCATATGGCCACACAGCATGTTAATAAACGTATATGAGATAGAATTTTTTCACATATGGCCACACAGCATGTTAATAAACGTTTATGAGATAAAATGTATTCACATATGGCCACACAGCATGTTAATAAACGTGTATGAGATAAAATGTATTCACATATGGCCACACAGCATGTTAATAAACGTATATGAGATAAAATTTATTCACATATGGCCACACAGCATGTTAATAAACGTTTATGAGATAAAATGTATTCACATATGGCCACACAGCATGTTAATAAACGTATATGAGATAAAATGTATTCACATATGGCCACACAGCATGTTAATAAACGTTTATGAGATAAAATTTATTCGCATATGGCCACACAGCATGTTAATAAACGTGTATGAGATAAAATGTATTCACATATGGCCACACAGCATGTTAATAAACGTTTATGAGATAAAATTTATTCGCATATGGCCACACAGCATGTTAATAAACGTTTATGAGACTAGGAAAGGTTAATTTTAATTTTATTTTATTACACTGTACACGTGTATATATTGGATATAATCGAGTCATGGAATATAATTCGTTGGGCATTTTCTAAAAAATGAAAATGAGGTATGTTTTTAGGAAGCGAAGCAAAGGTAAATGTGAGCTATTGCATAAATGATGTTTTGGAAAATACATCAGTTAGATATATATTTACCGAGAGAGAAGGGGATACATTCCTCTCGTTTTTGATATTTCCTTGCGTCATCCAGAAAACGATCAGGCCTGAAGGTTTTTGGATCCCCCCACACAGCCGGATCTTGAAGAACGGACTCTAAGTCGGTGATGACCGTCACTCCCTTGGGGAACGTGTAGCCATGGAAAAGGACATCTTTGGACACAGAGTGGGGAATCCCAGTGGGAACAATGTCGGAACATCGCTGTACCTCAGTAATGGTGGCAGTGACGTAGTTAAGACTGGTCTTGTCCTTCATGGAAGGTCGCCTACTAAGCCCGATGTGTTCTTGGATCTCCCGGAAACACTTCTCCTGTACTTCCGGGTAATGGAGGAAGTAAAGAAGAGTCCAGCGGATAGTGGTGCCAGTTGTCTCTGTCCCACCAATAAACAGATCAAACATCGACATCTTCAGATGACCCACTGGAATAGCAAAATGAAAGCACTAAAATGAAAGGACCTAAGTCATGATGCTTGTGCATTTAAAGGGGCTGAAGAAAATTGTCTAAATACGTGTACCACAGAAATAAATCCATTTCATCTGTAACTTGAGTGAGTAAGGTTTTATGCCGTTTTCAGCATATTCCATATTTTCCTCGGCAGGGTAATAATCATACATGAACCGATTGTACCGATGTCGGGGATTGAACCAGAGTATATAGCGTGACAAGCCAACGTTTTGACAACGGGATAAACTCCGCCGTGCTAAGAATTACATAACTAAAACCCTACTGGTTAGAATGTTAAAAGGACAACATAACATACACAATTCCCCCCCCCCCCCCCCCCCCCCCCCCCCACACACACAAACAATCCAATAAACTTGCTTTGATAAATAGACAAATAGCAGTATAACCCCACTACACTTTTAACACTTGTCTGCAAGCAGCGGGGTAGTTACGTACTGTCAAACGCCTCGTCTCCCTGTCCACGACGTCGCATTTCCCTGAAGTAGGCTGTTATGAAGTCGTCCACGTTGTCTACGTCGACATTGTCTATGTGTTCCTCAATGTTCTTTATTATTTCTTCCTCATCAATTGTATGTTTCATGTTCATTAGTTTCTTGAAGCTGAAAACGTCTCCAGGCAGATATCGAACCTCAGGAAATAAATTCAAAACCTTCCCTGTGCCCAGCGTTTCACACATTTCGTCCATCATTTTAAGGAATTTTAAGAATCGTGGATCAGTGTATTCAAATCTTTTGCCAAAACACATTGAACAGAGGGTGTTAGCCATAGCATTATGGACAAGACGTTTACATTCAAAGGCATCACCGCCCATGTCTTCAATCACTTTCATAAAATCCGATAACTCCTCTTGTATGTTGGCTTCCAAAAACGACTTTCCCATCCCAAACTCTCGGAGGGAAGACAGGGCAAATTTCCTCTGCTGCTTCCAGTTGGAACCAGATGTGTGGACGATTCCTAAAAAGGTAATGAACCATACAGGGAACTTGTTATGCTTATCATGCATGTGTGGACGAGTGAGTGAGCGAGTTAATGCTTTACGTCGTAATCAGCAATATTTCAGCCATATCGTGACGACTTGTGTGGACGGAAAATGGTTGCAAGCTAACCCTAAAGTGTAGGAAAAGTGTTTTAGTTATCACACGATCTTGTAATAACGATAGATAATTTACAATCGGGGCCCTGTTTGACAAGACTGTCGTAATTTTATGTTGAACTAAGGGTGTTATGACTGCGCTACGATCGCGTTATGAAACGATGCCGCTGCTTATACATCAGATATCGCTTGTGGCCGATCAAGACATATGTACATGATCGTTCAAAAGCTGCTCAAGGCCCGTGAAAATCGGGGTAGAAAAGGTCTTCAGCAACCTATGCTTGCCGTAATGTGCGACTATGCTTGCCTGGCGACGCCTTTGATCAAAAGGACAGCACTCTCATTTTACCTATATAGTTTTGATAATCGGTCATGTTGTTTGTCTGATAGTATAATGTCCTAAAATTGTAACAATTATGTGTAAATAAATGCGACAAACACCTTTCCCTATTCAAAATACTCCATTGTGCGATGCCGACTATATCGGTAGCAGGTATTTCTGCTGTCGTTGGACCGCCTCCGTGGTCTAATGGTAGAGCGTCCGCCCGGAGAGCGGAAGGTCCGGGTTTCGATCCCCAGCCGCGTCATACCAAGAGACGTTAAAAGATGGTACTTGTTGTTACCCTGTCTGGCGCTCGGCATTAAGGGGCTAAAACAAGGACCGGTCAGCTCGGAGTCAGTATACTGTGTCTGAGTGGGGTATTCATGTTAAACTGCGGCATGGTATCTCAGTGTGCTAGCACTATAAACCGGCATCAGTCCGGACTAGTACAAGCAGCCACACACACACACACACATACACGTGCATGCACGTCGCTATATAAGTTCAATAATCTTGGACGCGACGTTAAACCCCATTTCACCTCACCTCTGCTGTCGTTGGGTTAACCTTGCATCTTGCTTTAGACATGATCAAAATGCACCACTGCATAACACGACTGCAACCGCACATGTATTTGTAATGTAATGAATGATTGAGTGAGTTGAGTCAAATGCCCCTTTGCAGAGTAATTAATTTGTATCCTGGTGTGACAACCGAAAGAGACAGGTAAGCCTAAAGTTATGCAGGTCTTCGATCGTCACTTACAACACGCGCAGGGGTATAATCATATATCCTGATAAACCAACGAACATTAGCAAGACTTCTTGCGATTAGTACCTAACGAAAATAGGACATTGGCACGTCATAGGGCTAATCAGCAGAGGGTCGAACACGCCCAGGGGGTATCATCAATATGAGACGTACATTGTTGTTGTACATAATGTTTTAACCATCGATTTATTTTTTCGGAAAATTATTTCCGTGACCGGTGGCATCCGTGTTGTGTGGAGGTCAAGGACACAACGATTTAGACCATTACTCACGATGGCAGCTTCTAGGACATACCGACCAGTTAAGCGAACACCAGGTGTCGCCATTGTAAGGTTAATGATCCGTGACTAAAGGTCACTATGCCAACCACTTAGAGTTTCTCTTCATATGACACGGACCCGTGAAGATTCCGGGTTAGAATAGGTCGTCAGCAACCCATACTTGCCGTTAAAGGCGACTATGCTTGAATGTCGTAAAAGGCGACTAACGGGATCGGGTGGTCAGGCTCGCTGACTTGGTTGATACATGTCATCGATTCCAATTGTGTGGATCGATGCTCATGATGTCAATCACTGGATTGTCTGGTCCAGACTCGATTATTTTACAGACCGCCGTCATATAGCTGGAATATTGCTGAATGCGGCGTCAAACAACGAACATAAAAACAAACAAATCTTCATATGACAGAGATTAGGGTATGAATACCCGTTTGACGTTTGGTCCACGTAATGTTTGCTTACCTTTCCTCCCAGCATAGAAATCGGTCATAAAAGAGTAGGGCCTGTCTGAGAAAACATCGCCGTTCTTGACGAGTGCGTCTTTGATGACGTTGTAACCGCTGAGAACAATCAGTGGCCGGTTGAAGATGTACACGCTGAAGATGTCGCCGTACTGACGTCGCAGTTTGCTGAATGTCACCCTGGGGTCTGCGTCCATGGAGAGGATATTGCCCACTATTGGTAAGAGAGGGGGGCCGGGGGGAAGACCAGGGGGACGCCGCGTTGACAGCCATATGAGAAGAAATACCGTGATGAACACCACCACCAAAGACGTATTGAACAGCAGCAATCCCACAAGGAGTGTTGTAGCGGCCAATGTTGCAGCAGAGCTTGGATTAAACATGTTGTGGCCCGATGGTGTCACCCTTTAACTATGAAATTGAATCAAGTGCAGAGCTCCTGAATGAATGAGGTTACACGATAACCTTAGGGTATGTGCTCTCGGATAAGGTGAGGAAGTCAGCAGGACTCGCGTGATTCGTGAATGTTACACGGATACGTGTGTTGATGGCAAATGTACGATGCTGAATGTTATATTGGGTGCATAACAGTTAAACTGTAGAACTGAATATGTCGTAGGTGGATAACGAATTATATGTATCATCATTGCTTATTTTAAATGTGTGTACTTAATGTGTATAATGGTTGTTTATATTAAATGTCTACAACGATTGAGTACACTAAATGTGTATAACGATTGTTTATATTAAATGTCTACAACGATTGAGTACACTATATGTGTATAACGATTGTTTATATTAAATGTCTACAACGATTGAGTACACTAAATGTGTATAACGATTGTTTATATTAAATGTCTACAACGATTGAGTACACTAAATGTGTATAACGACTGTTTATATTAAATGTCTACAACGATTGAGTACACTAAATGTGTATAACGACTGTTTATATTAAATGTCTACAACGATTGAGTACACTATATGTGTATAACGATTGTTTATATTAAATGTCTACAACGATTGAGTACACTAAATGTGTATAACGATTGTTTATATTAAATGTCTACAACGATTGAGTACACTAAATGTGTATAACGACTGTTTATATTAAATGTGTACAACGATTGAGTACACTAAATGTGTATAACGACTGTTTATATTAAATGTCTACAACGATTGAGTACACTATATGTGTATAACGATTGTTTATATTAAATGTCTACAACGATTGAGTACACTAAATGTGTATAACGATTGTTTATATTAAATGTCTACAACGATTGAGTACACTAAATGTGTATAACGATTGTGTGTATTAAATGTCTACAACGATTGAGTACACTTAATGTGTATAACGGTTGTGTGTATTAAATGTCTACAACGATTGAGTACACTAAATGTGTATAACGGTTGTGTGTATTAAATGTCTACAACGATTGAGTACACTAAATGTGTATAACGATTGTTTGTATTAAATGTCTACAACGATTGAGTACACTAAACGTGTATAACGGTTGTGTGTATTAAATGTCTACAACGATTGAGTACACTAAATGTGTATAACGATTGTTTGTATTAAATGTCTACAACGATTGAGTACACTAAATGTGTATAACGATTGTTTGTATTAAATGTCTACAACGATTGAGTACACTAGATGTGTATAACGATTGTGTGTATTAAATGTCTACAACGATTGAGTACACTAAATGTGTATAACGATAGTGTGTATTAAATGTCTACAACGATTGAGTACAATAAATGTCTATAACGATTGTGTGTTTTAAATGTCTTCAACGATTGGGTACACTAAATGTCTAGACGGTTGTTTTTATTAAATGTCTACAACGATTGAGTACACTAAATGTGTATAACGATTGTTTCTATTAAATGTCTACAACGATTGAGTACACTAAACGTGTATAACGATTGTGTGTTTTAAATGTATCTCCTAAATGCATATTGAATGAAAACAGATCTATGTTATGTCGCAAGGCAAAACATACCTGCCCACTTGACCGCAAATGAATCACACAATGGACACCTGCCTGCCCGTCGACGACCCCAACAGTGTGTTATCACTTGTGTCCGGAATGTAGGTCAGCACATGACCCGTCTATCGCGAGGTTAGTTGAAGGCTTCAACTCAACGATCTGTCTGTTAAAAAAACCAATAAGACAGAATAGTCCCACAGTAGGTTTTAACGTGGTACTGGTGGCCCAGACGTATTCATTACCACAAGTCGGTTTGCTCATGATCCTGGGTTCGAATCCCGTAATATCCAGATTTTGTTCATGGTTTGTTGGTACAATAACCCCTGCTGGTGGGTTTCACCTAAACCATCTAGGACTTGAATTACTGACAGTAAGGGGTGATTTCTTGGCACATAAGATCCCCACCATCCCAGGTTTGTTATTGCGAGACACGACTAATATTATGACGGAGTGGGGCGGTCGGGTAGCCTAGTGGTTAAAGCGTTCGCTCATCACGCCGGAGACCCGGTTTCGATTCCCGAGATGGGTACAATGTGTGAAGCCCATTTCTGGTGTCCCCCGCCGTGATATTGCTGGGATATTGCTAAAAACGGCGTAAACCCATACTTACTCACTCAATTATGACGGAGTGGTTACAATACGTAAGTTGTCTGACCCATCGTTGCCCATACTATCAAACGCTGACCAAAATCTGCTGTGTCGATACAATTGACAAACGTAACATTGGATTTCCACCCACAACAGTGTTAAATTTATTAGTGATTGAAGATAGTGCATTGGCTGATAATCACCTCTGCCCTTCAAGAACATTATGCATTTAGTGTGTCATGTTTCAGTTATCTGGGTGAGTAGTGCCAAAATGTTTAGCCCCAACTGACAGTTTGGCACATCTATTCTACAGAAGAACAAGACACACATTTTTCTGGCAATTATTTGTCAAGAAGACAAATTATCATGCTTACGTGATAATTGTCTTATTTCAGTTAACTGGATGATGACTGCATGATCAGTATATTGAAAGTGAAACAGTCAGAGATGACATTGCCACCAGTCATTGAGGGAGAGTACTTATGTACACCCCTCTCCTCCAACGGACACATGTGCAGGTTGATGGAAAACCGTGATCGAATCAACTCAAGCGACCATCTATGTGAGGCGGATAATTTTGATGGAAATTGTTTCCATCAACTCCCAAACAAATTTTGGCATGAAACTGCTCCACGTTTACTCTGCAGTCCTGACTCCCTCATCCCTTGAAAACATTGAGTGTGGTGGCACTCTTGTTCCTCAAAACATGCATGGTTAAATTAGGGTGAAGGTACCACATTAATATTCTTCCACCAATACTACTGCAAACATATTTGGGACATGTACAATTATGTACTGCATACGATATGCTTATTAAACCTAGAACATCTTTTGATCAAGGGGTAACGGTTTGTGACCTGGCTGATTGTGTGTGACACCAAACCCCGCCCACTTGGACTGCTGCCCGGCACCGAGGGATACATTCAGCCTCGATGGAACTGCTGCAACGTATATTGATGACTGGAACAATATTCACTCACACATGCTACTGATGCTTATATATTTCATTCCATATACCAGCTTAGTGCACAATAGGTCGAATGCAGTATACATGCTCATGATGCAATAACATACCCTTTTCCTTGCAGAAATACTTCATGAAGAAGAAAAAGAAAATAAGCCTACAACTAATAATTTATGAGGTCAATGTAGGAAATTCAGATAATTCGTATATGTATTGTAGTATTCTCGATATTGAATTCTGAAAATATACTGTTTTTAATGCATAAGGGAAGGTAAAACGTTAAATCGCAAGAGAAAAGTACAGGTTACTTATAACTTTCCTGATGATACACACTGGGTACATGTGTACCCCACACGTGAAGATCCGGGGTATCATAGGTCTTCAGCATCCCATGTTGCCGTAAAAGTTGACTAAAGGGATCGGGTGGTCAGGCTCGGTGACTTGGCTGATGCATGTCATCGATCCCAATTGAGAAGATCGATGCGCATGATGTCAATCACTGCATTGTCTGGTCCAGACGCGATTATTTACAGACCACCATCATATAGCTGGATTATTGCTGAGTGCGGCGTTAGCCAACAAACAAACACGTGTACCCAACATATTACTTATCTTCCACATGTAGACAGACACACCGTTACTCAATGCTTGTAAATAGGCAATAAGGAAGCGTTAATATGCATTCACAGAATCATAGAATATTCTCGAGGATTTTCTCCGGTTTTGATGGTCAAACATACTGTCCACACAAACGTTTCTGACTGTGTAATAATTTCTCAACCGTTACAGACAAATTACGTGAAACACCCAAGATGTGTTTTGTGTCTTAAATATCATTTGCGGAGAGTCTGGAGACGAAACCTCAGCTCGATACTTACCACGGTCAAGGAAAATATTCTTTGCTCCACAGTAACGTGGCGTGTTGTCCATGTTCCAATGACAACTCATCGACCATCACAATCAGTAGGAGTACTACTCAGGTTGAATATGGAAACCACTATACACTATTCCCTTCGTTTATATTTGACACAGATGCCCCGAAGCGCTGCAGTTCACTGTGCGTTCTTTCGCGCGTGCCAGAAGCCCGAGGCCGTTGTGTCGAATCCTGGTTCGCCCTGATTATAGTTCGAGGCCTGTCCGGACCATGTCAAATGTTAATTAGTTCATGAATTAATTAATGATGATAGCTCAGACCCCCTACCACAGAATGAGGAAAAGAGGTGAAATGGGGTTTAACGTCGCGTCCAAGATTATTGCACTTATATAGCGACGTGCATGCACGTGTATGTGTATGTGTGTGTGTGGCTGCTTGTACTAGTCCGGACTGATGCCGATTTATAGTGCTAGCACACTGAGATACCATACCGCAGTTTAACATGAATACCCCACTCAGACACAGTATACTGACTCCGAGCCGACCAGTCCTTGTTTTAGCCCCTTAATGCCGAGCGCCAGACAGGATAACAACAGGTACCATCTTTTAACGTCTTTTGGTATGACGCGGCTGGGGATCGAACCCCGGACCTTCCGCTCTCCGGGCGGACGCTCTACCATTAGACCACGGAGGCGGTCTGAATGAGGAAAAGAGTTCACTAAAAAAGTACCATAATACCTCCGTGTTGGCAAGACATTTATTGTGAAGAGAATCAACAATGTAGAAGGTAGGCGACTGTTTTCATCCTAAAAATGTCTTGTGGGCATCGGAGGGGTGGGCACACCTGCAACATGAAGTCTTGCCAGTTGCATTAACTGTTGTATTGTCGGCGATATTTTGATTTTTGTGCGCATAGAATAACTGTTGACTCGTATCAGAGGCAAACATAGAGTAAGCATTCGTTTAACATACTGAAGTTGTGTTAACTTTCCTTTCAATAGTGAGAATGAGAGTTAATACTGAGTTCGACCAATCAGCTCATTACCAGGCGTGGTGCTGCCACAGAACCCACACGACTTCCGGCAGTTATCCTCCGCCCATTTCCGGTAGAAGCTGTTGGTGCACGTGTCAGCCTGGAACTGGTTACAGTTGTCCAGATGGTCTTTACACAGGGGAGGCGGGGAGGCGGGCGGTGGGGAACCTAGCAGCGGTAAAACATTCTGTCTTAAGTCCCCATCCTCGATCCGGTGTAGTTATATATCCATTCTATTATGATAAATTCCTTGGGCCAATTCAACACCTTAGCTTCATTTTGAGTCTCATTCGAATGACAGGACGCTTCAAATTTCCGTCCATTCAAATTACTCTGTTCTTTCCTTTTTGAAAAAGCAGTATAATTTACCAGGAGGCCTACTGGGCTCGCATTGAAACGTATCAAATACAACTGGGAACTGGGACTTTTTTGTTCCTGTCTCAATACTCATGAAAACTTTCTTTCCAGAAGATCATTTCTGACAAAAAGCGTTTCGATTGGCGTGAGAGACTGAGGCGTCAGTTCCGGAAAGAGGCATGGGTGGCGAACTGGTCCGGGTTTTATGATAACAGAATGGAAGGAAAATCGAGGATGATTATCTTTGTTAACCAGTGACTGACAGCATGAGTAACAAATGTAGAAGAGTGAGTGAGTGAGTAAGTATGGTTTTACGCCGTTTAGCAATATTCCAGCAATATCACGGCGGGGGCCACCAGAAATGGGCTTCACACATTGTACCCATGTGGGGAATCCAACCCGTGTCTTTGACGTGACGAGCGAACGCTTTAACCACTAGGCTACCCGACCGCCCCTACATATGTAGAAGACTTTACCTATATGACAAATGCAGGAATTAATAATACAATTCAGTTACTTATGTCAAAACATATCATTTTGGAGATGTATCTTTAGAAAGGTTAGCTGTCATTTATATCCTGGTAATTCAGAGCGAATTAATTCATAATACCCGATCTACTGACTAATTTGTATTTGAACACGGGGGCAAAGCATTTGCAACTACAGCCCGTGTGTTGTGTGTGAATGAATGATTGAGTTAACTGTTTTGTCACTACTACTGCTACTACTACTACTACTACTACTACTACTACTACTACTACTTGCCGTAAAAGGTGACTATGCTTGTCGTAAATGGCGACTAACGGGATCGGGTGGTCAGGCTCGCTGACTTGGTTGATGCATGTCATCGTATCCCAATTGTTTGGATGGATGCTGATGATGTCAATCACTGGTTTATCTGGTCCAGAGTCGATTCTTTACATACCGCCGTCATATAGCTGGAATATTTCTGAGTGCGGCGTTAACCAACAAACATACTACTACTACTACTGATTTTGTTTCAAGGACTGCCAGCACGATACGCGTGCTCGTGGGTGTCTCCGTCAAGCTGCCACACCGTGATATACCTATAATACTGTTCAGATCCGACGAAGAGACTTGTCTTCATCGTCACAGTTGAAGTAACTTTTTTTCATCTAATGTCACCACATAACAGAAGCAATAACATTTCATGCATTATTAGTTCACGAATAATGTTTAACTTCTCCCTTGAATTGAAAAATAATTGAGTACAGGGATTAACCTTTCACTCACATTGCACATTCATTATTATTATAATACTATTTATGTCACTGATTTATTTCATATCATCCAATAAAGCAGTATAACAAATCGTGATGTGTCTCACTGAAGGATACCAACCACAGAAGCCACATCTGCGCGCGCATTTCACTCTTGCCCACGACTCGTAGGTCCCGGTACAGGCGGAATCTGCGTAGGAGTCGCAGTTAGGCAGGAAATCTGTGCAAGCTGTAACACGTAGCAATCATATAGACACATCTAGACACGCCACACACACGTGTATCCCAAGTAGGAGGGAGTGGTCAGAGTTAGCGAGTCCGGTACACCGAGAAGGACACTTCATAACATGCCTTTCTTCAGGTGTACCAGTGTGAGTGAGTGAGTAACGTTTTACGCCGCTTTTAGCAATATTCCAGCAATATCACGGCGGGGGACACCAGAAATGGGCTTCACACATTGTACCCATGTCAGGAATCGAACCCGGGTCTTCGGCGTGACGAGCGAACGCTTTAACCACTAGGCTACCCCACCGCCCCTGAGGTGTACCAGAACTTTAAGAAGGACAAGGCCATAGAAACCCTAGGTTCAAATGATTAAAACATACCCCACTTTGTCTGCCATCGCAAAATGATTGATTTCGATCATTATTCCAGCAGATCCATCCTTTAGGTGTCTACAGTTCACAACCTTTTGAGGTAGCATGCTATTTATACAAAGATTTCAAAGAGCGTCATACGATTTCTCAAAAGTTTGTTTTTCAGGTGAACAATTGACATGCCTTTGCATGTGTTTGTGACGGGTGCCACTTCGCGAACACCTGGTATCATCGCTATATGATAGTGATTCATGAACACATCATCATGATAATGTTACTTATGCCAGGTACTTAACCTAAGTATAGTTAGGGAAGTAACGGTCGTAACAAGGTCATAGGCTGACCATATGAGATCGAACATAAGACATAAGTCTTATTGTATGTAGAGGCTTTATCACACGGACACTGGTATGCGTCGGCCAAGAATGTGACCGTGGGTCACGAGTCCCGTGTGTTGACTGCCACTCATGTTTCTCTCACTTTATATAAGTTCAAGTAAACAATTTTACACATGACAGTGAATGAAATTACAGAAGTACGTATTACCTTCTGATGGGACATTATATGCAATAAATATTATACAATTTCATTTGAATGGACACGGATAAATTGACTTTACCTGTTTCACATTTATGCTTATTTATCTATAATGAAGCTGGGACTTAACATGCATGACAGGTGGCAAGTCGCTTGGAGCGTCAGTCAGCAATCGTTAATTGTAAAGGAAAAGGGTTTTTGTCGCGATTGCGTATATCATGAGCACGTGTCAATGAATCAATGTCAAATAGTGATTATTCGACTCCTGTCACAAACACATGTAAAGGCAAGTCGATTGTTCACCAATATAAACACGGGCTCATATGGTAAAAGTCAAAGTAGGGAATTGCTAATGTGTGAAATTTGGAAATGTCCTCCACATATCTAAAACAAACGTTTTTGAAAGCTTTACTGATGCCTATAATGTTGAAAAACCTGATCGTGAACGATTTTGTATAGATATTTCACAGTAAGCAGAATGATGCACCACCAAGACATTGTCTCCGGTTGCTGGTAGTGTTTAGTGTATTCCCAATATTCCACCACGGCTGTATATTCTCATGGTTGTATAGGATTAACTGAGCAAGGACATATCTCAGACAACTAATGATAATCTATAACGGTCTCAATATGAACACCGTGAAAGAATCACTTTCCTTAAATAATATCGGTATGGTATCAACTACCCTCCCACCAACTTATCCGAAATATGTACGTTATTGTGTGAGAAGACTTACACAGTCAGAAAGTATGTAATTTTGATAGACACAAACAGCTTTAAATTGAAAAGGAGCCTCTGTGAGATGGGAGATTCTGAACCTAGACTTACTTCATTTAGGGCTATAACATTACAGTAAGGGTTGGGGAGAAGGGAAAATAATATGGCTTAGGGGCCGTGAGACAGACTATTGTGTTTGTGTTCAATACAGTTATACCATACCACCGTGTCGGAAAGAAGGGAGTCATATATTCTTGAATGAGCATTTGTATCATTTGTCGGGTGGTGTAGATCGTACTCACGTAGGGGTGGTGGAGACATGGCATCCACCAGGACCACAGCCAATAGGAGGGGAAGCAGTCCCAGAATCACCTCCTTCATGGTGTACACGTACACACGGAATGGGATTGACCCGAAACAGTATTGAATTCAGATAACGATTCTTCAGATAACGATCCCGGTCCAGACTTTATCTGTGGCACCAGGTTTGGTCACCGATAAACGTTTCTTCTTACAGATAAAACGGAAACAGTCAACAAGAAGTGGTTGTAAAAAGTGTGGAAGCAGTCAAGGATCAAATACACCCCACGTTCGTGCTACAGGAATAGAGTGGTATATTTTCCTATGTAACAAATGTTATATTTCTTGGTAAAGTACAGATTCTCGTACTTTTTGGGTTTGAGTCCCGTCCGGGCGAGGCACCTAATCGCCAGCAGACAAAGTCAGCGATCTAACCCATTGAACACTTTGTTGGTAAAGTGCAGATTCTCGTATTTCTGTGGGTTGAGTCCCTCCATACGCTACTTCGTCTATCCATTTTTTAATCGTGCGAATTTAAGAGGGTTCTAGGTACTTAAAGGTCATTTGAAACGTTATCATCGATATGATAAACATTCTGATGAAATTCACCGCCTCCGTGGTCTAGTGGTAGAATGTCCGCCCGGATACCCGGCCGCGTCATACCAAAAGACGTTAAAAGATGCATCTTGATGTAACCCTGTCTGGCGCTCGGCATTATGAGGGGCTAAAATAAGGACTGGTCGGATCGGAGTCAGTCTACAGTGTATTCATGTTAAACCGCGGCATGTGGACTTGCACTATAAATCGGCATCAGTCGGGACTAGTACAATCAGCCACACTCACACGTGGATGCACGTCGCTATATAAGTGCAATAATCTTGGACGCAACATTAAACCCCATTTCACCTAACCTCTGATGAAGTTCTGTGTGGTCCAATATTTTAAGGGACCGGCCATCTTATTGTTCTCTGCACACCCTGGAGGTACTCAGCAACATGCCCAAATGTACAAAACAAATATGCTGAAAAGTTGTACGCCTTGAAGCAGTCACCGCAACATGTTGTTCCAAACTGAAATCCCAGGTATCTAAATCAACACGGTCGTAGGTGAGTGGCTGGAACTACTAGTGCATTGTAATTATTCATGGACCAAAAGGGGGGCACGGGTGACCCAGGCTCCGCAATTCGCTGTGCAGAGTTGCGTTCATTGAGCACGCCAGAAACCGATGGTCTTTGGTTCGAATCCCGGTTCGCTCCGATTGTGTTTCTAGGTTTGTCAGCACCATACCCAGACTCGTGACGTTTACCAACGTTGTAAATGCCTAAGACCTGCATCACTTCAGGCCTTGCTCCCACACCAAGCTGACACACCGTAACATAACTGGAATACTGTTCAAAGCTGCGTGAAACACGCGCTCACTCACTCATGGACCGTAAAGTGCACACTGATAACAAGTTCAAATGTAAGTACATATAGGTGACATTGAAAGCACACTAGACTATGTATTGGTTTAATACCATGTCGATTAAAACCCGGTATGTCGGGGATGGACAGGCTGTCTATGGACATGTGCAAGGCTGCCAGGATCCGCTTATCGTTTGATCGATTATGATCCCTGGTTTGTTAGCACCATATCGTGGGTTTGTGGCAAACGTCTACGAACTGCGTCACCGCGAAATTTCCGAAACAACATGCAGCGACTCTGCCTCGATATATTGAAATCCTAATCAAACCCAACTAACTCGATCACTCACTCGAGGCTAGCTGTTCTAGTGATCAACTCTTGCCGAAAACTGTTAATTGACATGTAACTAACGACTTGTTCCTTTGTAAACTTTATCTTGATTATGGAAGATTGAATAAGATCTATACCGACGGAAAAGAGTAGGTGTGCTGCATATAAACCCCCACAAAACTGACGACGCTGAGTAACGCGTCGCTAAAACGTTCTCCTGGACACCTGTTGTGAGTGAGTATGGTTTTATGCCGCTTTTAGCAATATTACAGCAATATCACGTCGGGGGACACCAGAAATGGGCTCCACACAGTGTACCCATGTCGGGAATCGAACCAGGGTCTTCGGCGTGACGAGCTAAGACTTTAACCACTGTGCTACCCGACCGCCCCTGGACACCCGTAGAGCCTTGCACGACCATCGTGGCTGTGAAAAGTATACGGTTCCAGTCTTGTCTTCTGAACCTCGGTTGTTGTTCACACCAAGCTAGGCTTTCCGGACGGTGACGAGGAAGCCAAACTGGGCGTATCGCTGGACGCGGGGACCGGATGTTGTGCTCCCACGATCGGTTGCGTCCGGTTCGGGTTCTGCCACAAAGTGGTCTCAACCTGGGAATTTTCCGAGCTGTTAATGAGACAGTTTGGTATCGATTTCGTAGAAGAACTAACTGAATATTGACGTGACGTCACACGTGGACGACCGGCCAGTGGCAAGTCAGGAGTGTTGCCAAACTGATAATATTGTGTTTCGGTGAATATTAAAATGTCTTGCAACTTCATTTTACTCCATTCCTGTTTGCGGCAAAACCACAACGTGTAGACGTTGATTTATCAGCAAGCCATGCACGTGTTTTACGAGCACCTGATAGCTAAACAATCATTGTTTAAAATACACGTGTGTGAGTATCATGCTCCAAACAAACACGCAAACATCTAAATTGTGCGCCGTGCATGAATATGCATGTGCACATAGTGGATCACGACCTCAACGTCGATGCGAAGTTTCATGACTATGTATTGAAAGATGAATCATTTAATTTCAGAATAAATTGATTTTTATTGAACTTAATATGAAACACAGTTACATCTTTCCGTTAGTATATATCAGATAGATGATAATAAACACGTTCATATGCATTACTTGTTTGCATTCATTACGGATTTGATGTATGTTCATCCTGTCGAGGGACTGTCGGGTAGCCTAGTGGTTAAAGCGTTCGCTCGTCACGTCGATGACCCGGGTTCTATTCCCCACATGGGTACAATGTGTGAAGCCCATTTCTGGTGTCCCCTGCCGTGCTATTGCTGGAATATTGCAAAAAGCGGCGTAAAACCATACTCACTCACTCATCATGTCGTTGTATTCTCGTTCTCACCCTCTGTGTCAGTGTCACTTCTAAGACGCCTTATGTTACATGTTGTTAGACCATGTAGGAATGGAAGTTTCATTGGAATACATATCGTATTTGAGAACTAGACTGTTATCTCTCTACTTGAGAAAAAAACTAATGTTGTTGGTTTAATCTCAAACGTATGCCCGATACCTTCTAAAGAGGCTTTATCCATGCGTTAAGAAGAAATATGATTTGATGCAATATCGAAAGAGTGAGTTGGGTTTAACGGCGCTTTTAACAGTAATCCAGTTATATCACCGCGTGTCAGCTTCATGTGGGAGGAAAGCCCGAAGTGATGCAGGTCTCTGACGTTTACCACTTCGGTGAAATCCACGAGCACCGGTATGGTGCTGACTAACCTAGAAACATAATCGGGGCGAACCAGGATTCGAACCCACAATCATAGGTTTCTGGCGTGCCCAAGGGACGCAACTCTGCACTGACATCATGATGTATAAGCCGATATTGGCCAACATAATATTAAATACAACATAATGCGCGTAGATGCAAAAATAACAAAAACGTTATGTGTGGGGTCACACATTTTCTCAACCTCACGATATTCATGACAACTCTAACATGCATTTGATAATTTGTGTAATGGAGCTCTTAAGATCTAAGACATGACTGCTTGTGGAGTAGCAACGAAGACAAATCTAGTTTCAAAGTGTTCTTAAAGCCATCTATCTTGTTGTAGACACACCTGACGACCTTGTGAGAGGTAAAAAACAACACTAACTCATTGGCGGGATATTTAATTTTTGGTCAGATAATAGTCGATAGCAGTGGTTACAGTGCCAGTATAATTGCAGGTGTGGGCACAACTGAAAAATACAAAATATAGTGTAGGGTTAGTTATTTCAAAGCAAGTTCATGATTTAAATATAATTAACATATTGAACATTGAGTGCCGTATATAACATACCCTGTGTGTAGCTTGTGCATACCGTATAGAACCCATTTGGTGCCCCTGCATAAAATGTAGATCATACCTAGCAGTGTGCCTCAGGATAGCGTGAACATACCCCCTGAGCTGTGTATAAACAAGACATAGAACATATTCTATTTGGTGCTCGTGCATAACGTGTGGTTCATATTAATGTTCTCATAGAAGCGAGGGAACATACCCTGTGTAGAGCTTCTATATATCGTATAGAACAGACACCGTGAGCTGCTTCTTAACATATTCTATTTGGTGCTCATTATAACGTATGGTTCATATTAATGTTCTCATAGAAGCGAGGGAACATACCCTGAATAGCACCACAGAACCCACAGGTCTGCCTGCAGTTAGCCTTCGCCCAAACCTGGTAGAGGTCTTTGGAGCACATATCGTCCGGGTAGTTCTGGCAGTTGCTCTCTACGTCAATACACGGAGGAGTTGGTGTGGTCGTGACCAGGGTTGCTACGGAACACATTGTTTAGATGAAGAGAGCATCAGGATGTGCTGTATGTTGAATTCAAAACGTCTGGGACACATTATTATGATTAGGGGTCAAAACAGGGATCATAATATTTATACAAACATCGTGAAAACAGCTTGATTAGACGTAACACAATTAAACTATAATGGAAATGGTGTCCGTGGTGTAACAAGTTCTGTTTCATCACTTGCTGAAGAGGCCCGTTAGGATCCGGGGTAGAATAGGTCTTCAGCAACCCATGCTTGTCGTAAGAGGCGACTGACGGGATCGGGTGTTCAAGCTCGCTGACTTGGTTGATGCATGTCATCGTATCCCAATTGCGTCGATCGATGTTAATGATGTCAATCACTGGATGGTCTGGTCCATACATTTACAGACTTCCGTCCTATAGCAGGAATATTGCTGTGTGCGGCGTTAAACGACAAACAAACAAAACAAACAAATATACAGCTGTAATTCAGGATGATGGTTAAGAACGTTTGAGGAGTGAATATTTTCACCATTGCTCATTGACCAAAGGCGCACTTATCGCTGGATCGGTTATCAAGAACTATCATGACACCATCAAACACTTTATTCTGATTGGTTAATTGCTACGAACA